TTTTAATAGTATTGCTAGTATTACCAGTTTCACTAATTTCGCTAATTTTAACAGTATCACCAATTTCACCAGTATCACCAGTATCACCAGTATCACCAGTATCACCAATATTACTAGTATTACCTGTATTACCAGTATCACCAGTATCACCAGTATTACCAGTATCACCAGTTTTACCAGTATCACCAGTATCACCAGTTTTACCAGTATCACTAGTATCACCAGTATCACCCAGTTCCACCAGTATCACCAGTATCACCAGTTTCACCAAATGACTTTTTAAGTTTCACCAGTTTCACCAGTTTCAACTGATGAAATTAATTAGTTTCACCTGCAACTCTAGTACGTACTATATATTTTACTATATTGTTACTATATATAATTTTATTTGTTAGACTACATATTATTTTACTATATTTTTACAAAAAATTTTTTGTAAAAATATATAGTAAAAATAGTATATAGTAATGTAGTAGTAGTAAGCAGTAGTAGGCGTATTGCTAACATGTAGTAAATGTGCTACTATAAAGTAACTATATAGTTACTTTATATATAGCTAATTACTAGTACTTTACAAAAACTTGAATATCTTAATACACAATAACTATATAGTGACTATATAGTTACTATTAAATTTAATAGTAACTATATAGTTACTACATCATTACTATATATATAGTTACTACATCATTACTATATAGTTACTATGCATTAAGATATTCAGGTTTCTGTATAGTATATAGTATTAAAGTTGCAAATTTTGCGTTTCAGTAAAGCATAAACCAAAACTTTTACAATTGACAAGCTCAAACACATTACAGGAACAGACTATTAACTCAGGTTTTCTACTACTAAAGAGCTTTGTATTTATTCAAATTAAACAGTTAGTAATAAAAATTTAACGTAATAAAATAGCTTTAGACAAAAACGTTTTTAATCACAGTACAGTATAATTTGATATGGTCCAATAAACGGTAGGTATGTTTTGTCTTCTTATTGAAGTTCTTCAGGCTCCCGATCTTTTCGTACAGTGAATATCACTCTTGCGAAGCTAACGATAAAAAAAAAAAGTTTGTATTATTTATTAGTGAAACATTACGTTATCAAAAAGGATAAAATAAGTTACCTGGGCAATAGATTTACATCAGCCAACCATACGAATGTCCTTCTATTGGCTCTTGCTCATCTTTTGTGTTCGTTCATTTTCAACGACTGTCAATATTTTTGACAGTCATGAGATTTTCAAGACAGTCAATAATCATTTCGACAGATGAAAATAATTTCGCTATATGTCATTTTGGAGTGTAATGCCAAAAACATTCCGCCATACCGTCTGCCGTAAATCATCCATAATTTCGACCTGAAAAAAATGTATCAATATATAAGTCCAAAAGTTCTTTTTTAACCATTCCTAGCAAGGATATTCCTGCATGCAAGGTGTAAGCGTTGTGTAACATTAGACAGCCAGCTACAACGTTGGATCGAAAGAAATAGATTTATCTAATAGCTTTATTCAATACATTTATATCTTCGCTTAGCTGATGCAGCAAAGAGAGACTTCGACGTCCAACGTTCTATCAGCTTCTGGCATCACTCCTGAAATAAAGCCTTCGGGTTCTGACATACCTTCAATTCATTCTCGCAGGAAAAGCTCACTGGCGCTCGAAACAGCAGAGAAAGGCTTTCAGGAAACCAAAAAGTTTGAATATAAAGCAGAAAAAATGGCATTAAACAATAAACAAAATAGAAAATGGCTCCCAGTAGTGGGCTTTATTTTACTCCTTATATTTGTGACATGGCTCTTTATTCCTGAACATAAACCTAACTATGGCTCGGATCAATCAATTTCCGTTGGTATATTGCAACATTTTTTTACGTAATAGCTATTCCTTCATGTTTCTCTTTATATTATTTACAATCAGAATTTATTATATTAAAAAAATATCAGACCATAACATACCCGTTCAGGAGACTGACATTTCAAAGATCACGTCCCCTCATTGTACTGTTGCACATCCAGGACGTCAATTAATCCAGTATGCGCTGATGCTTGACGCCGGGTCTACTGGATCTCGTATTCATGTGTATAAATTTAATTATTGTAAAGCGTCTCCTGAATTAGAGGATGAAGTATTTCATCATATTCAACCAGGTCTCTCCGCTTACCCCGACGACGCTGACGCAGCTGCAAGAAGTCTAGATGTGTTGTTAAAGGTAGCTTTGGATAATGTTCCTAAGGAATTACAGCATTGTACACCAATTGCTGTTAAGGCAACGGCAGGATTACGTTTGTTGGGTCAAGAAAAGAGTGCACTTATTTTGAAGGCTGTTCATTACCATTTAGAAACAAATTACCCTTTTCCCATTATTGAAGAGGACGGTGTTGTAATCATGGATGGTAAAGATGAAGGTATGCTTTCATTTTTTCTGAATATTTGACCTTTGACTTTGGATATTCATTAATAATTTGTATCTGAATTTTGTAGGCGTATATGCATGGATTACTGTCAACTATTTATTGGAAAAAATTGGATCACTAGAAAAATTGCAAACTGCTGCGATATTTGATCTTGGTGGCGGGTCAACGCAAATAGTGTTTGAACCGGAAATGACAGATGGTGAGGAAGTTGCAGAGGGTGAACACAAATACGAATTAGAATATGGGGGTCACAAATATGTTCTTTATCAACACTCATATTTGCATTATGGGCTAATGGAGGCAAGGAAAGCAATTAAGAATTTTGCGGTTAATAT